CCCCAAAACCCCAAAACCCCAAAACCCCAAAACCCCGTGGGTGGAGGATTATGTTGAGGAAGAAATTAGGGGAATTCTGATTGGTTATTTGGGAGATTGGAGGGTTGGAGGGGGTCTTTGGAACATGGATCTTTTTAGAGGGCCGATTTTTGAGCGGATTTTGGGGATTATGTGCTGGTCGTGGGGGTTGAGAGGGCTGATGGAGTGGGAATTGCTCCTGGCGATGTCGAGGGATGATTTTATGGCGGAGTTGTCGGTGAATTCGTTCTTGCTTTCTTCGATTATGAGTCTATTTGGGATCTTTAGTTTTTCGATTTTTGTGGTCTCTTTTGGAGCAATGTTCTGAGGGCGACCCTTTCATATGGTTTTCTTTAGAAGAGAAATGACTGATTTAACCATAAATACAAATCATATGCCGCTGACAATGAGTGATGACATCATGAAACTATAAGTGTAATAGCTTTCATAAAATTTCGTCCAATCATTTTTAGTCTTGAGCCATATTAATGGGGTCACCAGGAAACAAAATATAACTTGATTGATAGCTTCAATAATATTGTCCTGGGCACTCTTAAAGGGCCTAACAAGTACCAAGTACACTGCAAAGATGAAATTCAAGATCAAAAACATTATAGCTTTATTCAAAGCAGGGGAATCTTTTCCAAAAATAAGTAAAAATCCAGAAAGAATTCTGATCAACAAGAAAAAGCTCGGAAAAATGTAGGCGAGCCTCTTGGACTTGATCCCATTGAAAAACTCAGTCCACTTCCAATATTTCTCTAAATTCTTCGAATCAAAGGACTTGTAATACATCAAGAGTCACAAGCCCATGAGAAGGATGATGCCTACAAATATCAGGATTGAAGCTCCGATCGAAACTTTGGAAATGATCGTTCTTACTTTTAGCGAATAAATCTCTGAGAAGACACACAAGTTAATGAACATCAGTGATTGCATAAGGATTCGGATGTATAGGCTGAAGGTGAAGTACCGAAACAGCCTCGTTCAGAAGTTGCTGCATTTATTGGTCTTGGATCTGCAACAGAGTTTGTGAATTATGAGGATCAAACTATGAGTTATGCTGATGGTTCCCAGAACGGCTATAAGTGAGAGGAGGTTGACAATGGCGCTTTCTGACTCTATTCCCAGACTATTAAGGTATTCATCTACCTGAGGATAGCTTATCCAGCCAGGAATCTTTCTTACAAAAGGAATTTTCTTAAACTTCAAGAAATCAAACGAAAGCATTGAGAATCCTACTCCTGTTATCAAGGACGACACTTTCGCAGGTAAAGAATCCGGAACTAGGGGAAGAAGTATGGCAAGCTGCAAGCTGTTCATTGTGCAAAATATCGAATTCACTGAAGTCATCGAGATCAATGAAGAAGCACTTGCGAAGGCCATGCTAGATGTTGCCATAGAAGTTGTAGCCGCTGCAACAGTTGCAGACACTTCCTCCTCGTCTCAAGGATTCTCTGAGAAGTCTCACTTTTCTCCAGTGGGTTTAGGTTCTGAGTATAAGCTTCAGATGGTGCTACTTATAAGCTCGTAAGAGTCTTCTCACACGAGACACATGTCATAATCTGAAGGGTCACATTCTTTGCAATGGTTGATTTCACACACTCTTCATATACTTGGACCTATAGAATATGATACCATGCATAAGGAGTCAAAGGATTTTACCTGGAGGAGTTTGATCAACACACATAGACTTGTTTTCAACAGTTCAGTTAGAACTGCATCCATCTCCACTAAACTATGAGCAAAAACTTACTCCACAAGGTTGCCATCGTCTCAAGCTTCTGAGCTACTTCTGAGCCCATCTCCACAAAGAACGTCTCAAACATCAGTTGTAGAAAAATTAGGAATACATGAGTATCCTGGCTCTACAGAACAGCTACTACTTCACCCATCCCCATCGACATTATTTCCATCATCTCAAGGCTCAACGGGAGAGTAGAATCCATCTCCACAGATAGCAGGAAAACCTAAACTGAAAATGCTGTTACCCCAACTATACACATATCCTAGAAATCAATTTTCATCTCAAGGAGCATTGTATATGTCCACACTGTTGTCTCCTGTGTTTCCTCCATCATCTCACTCCTCAAGTGCTTCAGGATGCTTAATCCCATCTCCTCATCTGAACCCATAGGCTAAAGTTAAAGGATGAACAGACTTACGGTTAAATATTTCAGGGATGATCTCAATTGTATAGTCAACAGTATTGCTTATCTTTAAGCTGTGAATGATAAGCTCAATTAACATGCAACCAAATTGTCATCCTAAGCTATAAGGTTTCTTTGCAACTCCTAAAGAAGCACTGCTGCCAAGATTATGGCCTTTGAGTGGCTGGTATTCGCTACTCCTGAGGAGCCCAGACTCCATGGTCATTGCGATTCTGTTCCATCCTCCTAGATTATTGATTAAAACCACTCTCTTACTTTTAAGTGCTGTGTCACTCTTTGTACCTTTGGTCCCAAATTTAGCAAACATTGTTTTTGTCACTATATTGGCCAGGTTAGGCATATCTAAGCTTCATAAATACATCTTTTGATTCAATCAATGAGCCTCAAGATGATAAAGCTACGAACTAGAATCTTATTCTAAATTTATGATTGGCTAACATATTTCCTAAAATTTCCCTCAAAATGAATGTTCACTTCTCATATCTCTGAGAAGCTGAAATATCTCTTCTCTAAGAAATTAGCAATAATTCTCAAGATTTAGCCATAACTTACCTCCCATGAACATAAAATGAACAGGCTGCACATCTGGACTTGCACCTACCTATAATTTACTGAGGAAGCTTACCTTATTCTGTGTGACATTCATATTGAGGAAATGGGATGTCTCTATCTTTCTCACAAAGACCCATGTCTCTATAGAGCAGAAGTCTTCATATTCGAATAATGGGCCAACAATATCCAAGTATCTAAAGGGGTTAAAAGAGCTGATTACTCTCCTTTCTTATTAAAATATACTCCTTGATTAATTATTATTGGCTGAATTGACACATCCGCTAGAGAAGGAAATGTCAGAATTTTATTGATGATTGGAAGAGGAAATAGAGGAAATGATGCCTTATGCATTACAGAATGAAAAATCTCGGCAATCATTCTTAAAACCCATAAATAAAATTTTGATAAATAAATCAAGACTGACTTCAAGGAGGAGGATTGTATTAATACAAGAACTACCTTGGTTAGATAGTAAGCTAAACCACATTTGAAGCCCATATTTCTCAAGAGACCGTCCAATATCATCCTTCTCACGCTAAAATAGAAGCCAGCCACTACATGGCACAGCTCATCAAAGCTACTCAATGGACCTCCTGTTCTCAACCTATCCAACCCCCTATCCTAAGCCTGTGCCTAGCCCAGCCCTGCACAAACACAGCTAGACTCCTTCCCTTTGCCAACTGCTTGCTGCCAAACCCTAATCTAAGCCCAGAGCCCTTCAAAATTTATTAAGCTTGTACTACAAAATTAGGTATTTCCATCGTAAAAATTTTGGGTAAAATCTTGATGAAAATTTTACAGTTTCTGAGCTATGCTGAAAACATAGAGTATAAATTTTGGAAAAGAGGAAAATGGAGGGATTTAGATGTTCTGAAGGGGTACTTACGGAGGAAGTCAAATGTGAACATTCCTGCCTCTGCTTCTTGGTTCTGGACCTGAGTTGTAGACTTGCTAGAGGGTTGGAACTAGGCTTACGGTAAGTTACTGAATTGGTAGGTTAGGGTCCTGTTTCGTTAATGGGAGTGGGTACTTACTTGGCTTGAAAGCAAGAACACTTGTGTAGCAGCCAGATCATGATTATGAGATGGCAAAGGGATGGTTTCAATATCATCTATAGCTTTGTTATATATGTTCAAATACTATCTCTGGATAAACCTAATATAGTCCGAATCAGATCTAGAGCTAAGTCTCAGCTCTGAATTTCTCTATTAATCTCAAACACAGGCTCAAATACTTTGGGGATAGTAAAGCGAAAAGATACTATGAATAGGCAGGTTTGCAATCTTTTCTTTCCTAGTTCCCCAAAGTCATTTTATGTCAACAGAGAACTTTATCAAAATCTCTGAAACAAAACTATTTAAACTAACTGGTTAATTTTGGATAAAATCAGCCAAAATATCCATTATTGGGCTTGATCTTCGCTAATCAAGACAAAACTCTTTTCTGCTTTATAAGATCAAGCAGGGTTTCATACTTACCTTCTTTTTAGTATTTCAATGCTGAATCACATAGTGGGGTTTTGGGGTTTTGGGGTTTTGGGG